GGCTTAATACAAAGAACGAGAAGCTAAACGAAAGCTTGATGGAAATATATGATTGTCTCTTAATAAAATAAGAAGATAGGTATGAAAAGGATGTTAGGGATTAAGGTGTTAGGAGATACGAAATGTCGGTATGTGGGTTATGAAACCCGACTTGAAAAAAATCTGGTTGTTAAATGGAAAATCAAATCAAGGTTTAATAACTGTATATAATTTATGAACCCATTTTATTTAGTAAAAATTATATCATTGTACTATTTTTAAAATATTAGTTTTTCGAGTGAAGGTTGTTCGAGGCCATTTATCTCAATTCTTATTAAAATTGGATACATTGACTTTCATATAGTATAATTTAAAGAATTAATTTTTTTCAAACAGTTTGCGATGAATGTAAATTCATTTAAGTACAAACAAATATAAGGTATCACATTAAAGCATAATTATAATTAGTGTGTGACTTAAGATATGTGAGTGAATAATTTTGCGGATTTTATTATTTTGTGTGAGTATATTTTTGAAGAAGCATTTTCGTAGACCACACCTATCTCGCATAATATTAAAGTTAGATATCTTGAGTTTCTTTTAATTCTTAGTCTATCTTCAAGACTAGGTACACTTACGGATGCAAACTGTAGATACTGCGAAGAGAATGAGGAGTCGGTCACACATGTGCTGTTAGAATGCCTTGCTCTAATGCACATATGGAATAGGCTCCAAGAAGTGTATATTCTTACGGAAAAGGCAATAAAACTCTATGAAGTAAGTTCTCTACTACTTTCTATTGACGCAATAGGCCTTAGAGATTTACTATAAACCCAGAAGGGGGAATAATAGACCCGACGCTCGCAGTGTCACATCCCCTAACAATAATAATAATATCCTAACTTGAAGTTAAAGATCATCTTCTCCGACCCTGTATATAAATTTGAGTAACTTTCGTTTAAATTTAATTTTTCCAATGCTGTTACGGTTGAAAACTGAATTTACACTACAAGCTTCTGTGGAAAAATAAAATTTCAATTCACCCCATTGTTCACCCTGTTCAATGGCACAACTTAGCACATCAATAAGAAAATTTTTCTTCATCATCTTTGCAAATATTTGCACGTTTTAACACCTACAAACTCACTTATCTATGCATATATGCAGACTTAAGCGATAATACCGAATGTCTTTGTTAACTTTTGCTTGAAATTAACATAATTTCGTGTTCGGTTTAGATTTTTAAAATTTTCCTGTAATTTGTACACATTTTTCATGCACTCACACGCATTTGTCACATTTTTTCACATTTTTCACATTTTCCACATTTCTAACTGAAATTGGAATTAAAAGGAAAATCGATTTCAGTTTGAACTCTGAAAGTTATTTGTCCTGTTGACTTTGCTTTTGACACAGCAGCAGCAATCGAACCATAACTTTGACCTGTAATAAACGTCAGCACCTGAAAGTATGCATTAGTAAATGATTTTGATTTTTATATTTCATGTTTACTCGAAGTAGCAATTAAATGTCCTTCAGCAATGCTGACAAGCAATAAACAATATTGGACAAATAAAATGTAATATCCTAGGTATGATCAACATAACACAACACAACACACACAACACAAGAATGTATTAAATTTAGACATGTGGCCTTATCTCTGTTGTGCATCAACAAAGGCCTCAATTCAAACACACATGTAAATGTCAAATAAATATTATCACATAACCAAATTCCAACAAATAACGAGTACGAATACGTCTACGAATAGTTGTGGCTTTCAAAGTAACTAGTAACTGGCAAGAAAACTAAAACTTAATTGTTAAGCCTTTGTGTTTTGTGTGTTATACATACATATATGTTTATATATATATTCTGTAATTATTAGTTTTATTTACAAAATTGTTTATTGCAGTTATAAATGGAAATATATAAGTTTAATTATAAGTAAATTCAAAAGTATATTTACTTTTAAAGAAAGTCAAAGAAAGTTATTCAGTTAAAGATGTGGTAAAAAGTTAAACATTTATTTTAAAAATTCCATTTAATTAAAGTAACAAACCAGATCTATACATTTATTATATTACGCACAGTTTACTACTCTGATCTCTACTCAAGAAATGATGTAAAATTTTTAATTTAAAATATTTGGGGTTATCGATTCGGAGAAGGCATTCTGTTTAGGTTGGTAGAGTACTAAGGATAGGAAGAAATATTCGATGAATAAAGATGAGAATGGAAACACTTAATAACTTAAGTGATTATTGTCCATTAGAGATTATTTGACTTCTTTCTTACCCCAAGAAAACGCTTCCAGAAAAACGTTTCGAACCGAATACATATGTCGTATATTAGTTTACTATTGTTTAGCTATAATGAATTCTTTTTGAAATGTGTCTTTAGCCGGAATCGCGTCAATTATATCAAAAGTTCTCAGAAAAATATTTGTAGATTTATTGGTTTAACAACTATGTGACCTATTTTAGTTATGCTTTAAAATTCTTTGTTCCAGTTGATTTTATCTGATATTCTGATCATACAATCACTATGATGCACCTGCAGTACACATTTAAATGACCTGGAACTTGCTTAAATTAAAGGAAATCAAAAGGTAGCTTCCATCTTTCTTTACCAAATTCCGAATGTGTGAAGGAGAGAAACACTTATCACAGCTGCACCTTGTGATATTTTATCATACTTTATAATCAGTTATTTCTCCAAACTTTGTTTCCTTATTTAATTTTTATTTTTTATATTCTCTTTTGCTTAATTAAAGTATTTTATTTATTTATATATGCCGCATTTTTGGTGCATCTTTTTGTCATTTGAGTCTGAAAATCTGTATTATTCATATAAGTTTTCAGCTTTATAATGAGTGGTTTGCTTCCACCTCTTCCATCTTTAAAATATGGAAATTTGTTTAATTGGTACAAATAATTGTTCGACTATAACTATATATAACTGTATTTTAATCAACACTGTTTAGGAAATCCATTGGTCAGTAATGGGGTGCAATCAATTTGTATTCAAAAATTAAAATCAAATTTTCTAAATAACCAAAAAAACAAAAAGTTTTATAAAAAAACTCTACACGGGCTACTTCAATAAAAACAAGTGATTTGACTAAAACAACATTTGGTAACCAAAATAGCAATTTACCCGGTACTGAAGGCTACTTCGACACTTGGCCCTGCTTAGGTTTAAGAACTTAGAACATTTGGTAGTAGTATAAAATGCCAGAGTACGCGCCACAGTATCAGAGGAGGGAAGAAGGAAGTTAATGCACAAAAGATTATATTAAAAAGGGTTCAAAATCAGCAAAAATTAATGTGCACACATAAAATAATACATGAACCAATGTATGTATGTCCGCTGCTAAGTGGGAAGATAATGTGTATGTTAAGCAGGCCTGAAATTTTGGTAAGTAAATGTCTATTGTGCCCACAGAAAAGGTACACAATATTCCAAAGCAGAGCATTAAAAATACAAATATCAAATTTATGAATTCATACATATTTTAGTAGAAGCCCAAAGGATCCCCGGCTGAATGCACATTACTAATGCTTATGTGTGGCCTTGCTTATGCTTTATGGAGCACTTACACATTTATCATGAAAAACAAAGAAATTGTATGTGGCATTAAGCCTTTTTGGTCATTGTGATGAGTAAAGCATCTCACACGAGTATCTTGTTGGTGTTTTCATATGCAGAAGATGATTAAAATTTAGTTACTTAAAATATGTTTTCAGGCTTAGAAGCAAATTGAAAATTTTTGGGATATCTCTCCTTCTCATTGTCGTGTCGTAATTCCCCTTCGTAAGTGCAAAGTAAGTAATTTTATAAAAAAGCTGTTTTAGAATATCTGCATATGGGTAAAAAATTATTTTTATAAATAATAAAACTTTCTTTCTATTCTACAACAAAAAAAAAATGTTAAAAAAATATATAACAACCTCAAGATGCTCACTGAATAATTTTATAATGGAATGCGAAAAAAGTATTAAGCATTTACTTCTCAGTTAAACTTTGATATTTAAACTTTGAAAAGCTTTAGAGGCAACTGCTTTTTTATTCGGACAAATAACAGATTAACCGATTATTTTTGATTTATTCGAATAGATTTTTTTATGTTGATATTAGTTGAGTCAGTGCACTTGAACACTTTTACTCTCTATTATCTGTGAGGTTTCTTCATAACCCCTCACTACGCCTTGACTGGATTATTGTTCACCTCTTCATCAGACTAAGCAATGACTGACCTCAGATTTGCATAGTTTGAGATTTGGAAGTGCAGCCTTCTTCTCAGAGTTGTTTCACTGGATCGCTTTTGTCTTACTTTTGTCTTACCGCTTATAATCATAACAATGCTGTAGTGGTACAATGTAGATGTATCAAAACATGCGGTGTTAATATCATCGGAGGTGAAATTAGTTGATCCCGATGCCGGCATGGTACTATAGCAACATTGCTTTTTTCACTCCTTATATTTAAGACAGCCGTGTTAGAGTCTTTGCCTAAGGACCTCCAGAACTTACTGCAATCCTGAGTTTCGGTGACTAAGCAAATAAACAACATCAACACATTTCAATTTTTGCTATTTACACGATAAGCGTCCACTATATGCCGTGTTTGTCGTCCAATATCACTATTCACTTCAAAGAGAGGGATGTGATAGAAGCCTTGCACGATTCAAGTGACATTTAAACACAGCGTATATAGACTTTATGCTATTAAGTGCCTTCCACACTGTCAAAGCTGTAAAAACTAACTGGAGAAAAAAAGAATTTGCCATTTGCTCCTTGACTGCTTCATTTCGACATTCAGAAGAAAGTCATTTTTTTTGAAGGAAGTATTTTGACAGTTGGTTATCAAGTGTTTATCGATAGCAATTATGGACATGTCAAATTGCTTTAAGTCCATGAATATATCTACATTTTCATTTTTCAAATTTCTTGAAGGAAATGTAGCAACAATACGGGGAATAATCTCTAATTATGGGTAGTGAAATAATGTCTGCTTGAATACCGTTGTGGTAGTAGTAAATATGAATTAAAATAAATTTTATTTATTTTCCATATACTCTATTAATTAGGAATTTTTTAATATGGCATCTGTATGAAGTCCATGTCGTCAACTCACTAAACTGAACTTACTTCCGTACAATATGAAATATATTTTGCATTTAGTTAAATTTTGTGTATAAAATCGCTCTTAAATGGGAATTAAATATTTCATGCGCTCGAATGCGGCTTGTTTGGAAACATATTTGCATATTTATATCTAGATTTTGCACTTTAAACAACAAATACTTTCAGTCAGAAGAATTGGCTTAATCCGCGCGAATTAACGCATTGGCATCACTCCAAACATATCCCATAATAAATTAGAAATTAATAATTAATTGCAATGCAGTAAATGCAAATATGCGGAACTAATGTTAAGCAGGCTTAAATGGAACAGTACAACCGGCATTTAATATATTCATGATATTTAATTGTGAAATATTCAAAACTCATTATAGATTCATTCAAAAATTAATGTGAGCATAAAATTGACAAAATTGGATATGCACATGTATTGTGTTTCACACCCCAGCTGTCTCCTGTCAGTTCTCGTTCTGCCTCCGTATTCGTTCACTAGAATTGGCAGCACTTCATGTTACAATGTTCAACTTTTTGAGTTGTAATTTTAATTGTTAATTTACAACAATAGCAATTAATTTAAATCATAAACAAAAGACTAACTTGCAACTTCCAACTTTTGCACTCCTACCTGACATATGTTTAAAAAAATGTACAACACGGCGTATGAGCAACAAAATTTTAGCGTTTAATGTGAATGCTGTTGCCACATGTCCGGAAAAGTTTTTAAAAATGCACACGCTGCTAAAAATTTTAAATGGTTTTTGTTGTTGTTGGGATTGCTGTTGTTTTCTATAACTTTTACTTTTACTCTTTTATTATTTTATTTTTAAAATAAACAAAACACAACAGACTCGCGCTCAAATCAAAAAGTTTTGAATTTTTTCAAATTTTTTAAAATTTTTTTTAATTTTTTTATGTAGGCCGGAAGTTCAAGAGCGTGTGGTGTTGGAGTTTATATGTGAACAGCTCAGTGAATATATTGTGACATGTGCTAGAAAATATAGCCCACACTGAGCGGGAAAGAGAATAGGAGTCGAATTCCGCGTTAATGAATTTTTAGTTTGGGAGCCGATGTAGATGTGCCACTTGTTTGTAGATCCATTGTTGTCACCGACAGATGTTTACAGTGCCTGCCTTTGTTACCGTTCTAGATTCTTCTCCACTTCATGTAACTACTTTCCTTGTTGTTATGCTTGCAAAAATATGTTGCTGTTGTTGTTGTTGTTGCTGTTGTTTATTGTTAGTTTTTGCTGTAGTTTATGCCATTTAAATGGTTTCTATGTTAATTTAAAAAGTTTTTATTATATTTTTCTTG